CCCCAAAACCCCAAAACCCCAAAACCCCGTCTTTTTTAATATTCATTGTATTTGGGAAAAAGAAATAGAGAAGCATAATTTAGAAAGTTATCAAACAAATTATTAATTGTGAATATTACTCTTAAGCAGCTCGAGACAATTGAAAATATCATCTTATCTATTTTTCAAATTTTCAATTGCTTCATTTAGTTACTAAGTGCATAGATCTCTTTGATTATTATCCTGCTCAGATTGAAACTTATAATAGCTTTCAATTACATTAGATAATACTTTTGAATACTTTTTCAATGACTCTTCTGTGGATATTATTAATTATTCTTTAGCCACTTGTTTATCTTATCCACTATTAAAAGTTTATTCTTGATTATAAACTTGTTCCTATTTAAAATCTTCTTTATCTGTGTCATATGGATTCTTTATAAAGAATTCTTTCTTATTTTTTTCATATATGTCTCTTTTATCAGGACTTAGCTACTCCATAAGATCATCAGCTAAAAAAATATTCGAAAAGTCTTTTAATTGTCTGATTAGTTACTTTATAACAAGCTGCTAATCTGTAAGATTTTCATTTTATTTTTAATTTAAAGAATTAGATTTCTCGAACAATAAAGCTTTTTATTGATCAAGATATTAAACTTTAAGGTCTTTTTAATTTATTTTGATTACTACTACTTCTAGAATTTGCAAGGCAAAGAGTTATATTAGTCCTTTTTAAATTCCAAGAGAGAATATTTATAATAGGCTTTTCAAAGTATCATTCAGCTTTCTAAGTTTATTCTCGATAAGATCTTTAAGATGCTCTATTTAATCCTACTATCTTCGTCTGAGATCTTAATTAAATTAGATTTGGAAAGAAAAACCTAGCTCATTGAAAAAACTACCGCATTGCTAAAAGAAATCTCCTTATTTAGGCTAATGTTAATGCTTAAACAAGCTATATCCATTCTTATTATGAGAAGCATCTCTTAATTCCCAGAACACTATGTTAAAATCGTATATATTTATCCTTTCTAGCTATTCCTTCATCGCTAACTTGTAACTAATGCATTCTTTCAAATCGTTAAGAATTTTCTGAATAGGTTCTAGAGAGTTATCATTAGGAAATACCGTGTTAAATCTAATTTCATTAGCTTCTAAAACTGGAGAAGCTATTAGCTCCCTCAGCCCATTAATATTATTTATCTTAGAGGTGAAAAGCTTGACAGTCTAAATGAAATTGCTATTATAGTTATGACTCTCTTTATGTAGTTTGAATATTTTATCAACAATATCTAGGATAGGCTAGTTTTGAGATTTATATTATTTATCATTTCAATTGTAAATAGGCAAGAAATGTATGATCAAACTCTACCTCAATTTATTTGTGTTTTCACCTCTATTTACATAATATCTTAGATTTCTAATTGCTAGATTCTACTTATGCAGATTATCTGCTCCTTTTATTAGATAAATTACTGTTGGAGGGGAGCTAGTATTCATTTGATTGAAGTTTTCTGAAGCATCCAAAAAATCTTCAAACTCTAGCCAATCATCGTCATATTTGTTTATTACAAACAACACATCACAAATTTTAAGAAGACATAGAGATTGCATCACTGAGGAAAACTATGATAAATTTCTCGCAGTCTTTCTCTTTTGTTTACTATCTTTTATCCATGATATTTGGCTTTAAAACTATGCCACTGTCTCAGAACCTCTATAACCCTCAGCATCTAATAGAATTTAACTGAACCAATACTTATTGATAACTCCAATATCTATCCCATTAGTAGTCTTTTATCCTTCAAGCTCACTAGATTTGAATTTTGCACCGAATGATGATCTCATGAAGGTACTCTTTCCAATTTGCTATTTTCCAATGATACCCATAACAAAACTCTTCTAATACTCACCAACTCGTGATTTTAATGTTTCTGTTAAGTTTATTTAGAGCTAAGGTCTCTTCAAATCTTAATCAAGATTAATTGAAATAAGATTTTCTGATGGTTGAACTTGACCCATAAATTAATCTTTAAGCAATTAGAATTATTGAGTTAAAATAAAATATTTAGTTAAAAGTTATTGTAAATAAAATATTAATTTCCAAACTCAATTTTCAGAATTGTAAAATCACTCTTGTTAATATTAAAGGGCTTGAGATTCAAAGTTGGAAATAAATTCTAGAACATTTGGTAACTATTCCTTAAGTTCATTAATTGCTTACTAAAAGCTATCCAACTGCTTAACCTTTTTATTGAAATCATCTTCAAATTAAAAGACTGAGTAGGTCTCAAGTGCAAGGCCGACGACTCCAAATGCTAAACCGAAACCTTGAGATACTTTGGCTGCTCCTCCTACAGTATTAACTTTTCCAACATTAAATTTTTGAACATCTTTGAAAGCTTTGGTATTCTGCCCAATCAATCTTAAACCATCGGCACCCGTAGCTTTGGAAGCAAATCCTCCAAGATTCTAAGCTGTCTGTAGCTCTCCAATGGTCTTATAGCCTATCTCAGAAACTTTATAAATTTTTCTGCTATTTCTTGTCAAGTATTCTACTCTTTACAGTTGCTAGAGCATTTGTATTCCTCCATTAGAAAGATTATTTCCAATGGTACTAAAATATTAGCTTCCAAAATCTTGAAACTTGAACTCCTCGGATGAAATATTTGTTGAAATCATTGAAAGTTCGAAATCTCTCTCATTGTATTTCACGTATTACTCAATAACTTTTTATTTGAGTTTAGAATATTAAATATCTGCATCCTCCTTGATAGCTTTGATAATTAAAAAAACAAGAAGTCTCTTGAGATTGGAAGATTTTTCAATTATTTCCTTTATTTGCTATAGAACTTCCATAATTTACTTGATTTCCTGCATAAAATCTTCTACCATTTTTACTTCTTTTTCAACATCTTCTTATTTAGATTTTAATACGGTTTATTCAACTGCAATTTTAGCAACTAGAGTAGATATAGTTACTCCAGCAACTATCCAGCCCACAATAGGAACTACTGCAGCTCCTGCTAGTGCTGCACTTGCAGTGCCTATACCAGCAGCTGAGGCACCCAAAGATAATCCGCTCATTGTATGAGAAATAGCTCTCGATTCCCATAGAATTTCTCGTTTAGAAGGTATGTCAAGTATATTAAGAGTATGCTCTAGTAATTCTTTCTTATTTTGAATGACTTTAAGTTTTTGTACTAGTTCTCTATAAGTCTTTATAAAATCTTCATTTTCAAAATGGACCTCATATTGAATACTCACATAATCAAAAACACTTAATGGCTTAAGCTCTGATATTCTTAATACTTGATTCAACTTATGAGTTATAGCTAAAATTTGTTGCTTCAATTCTATCTAGTTTTTAAGATTATCTTATTCATTTTAAATGATGAAATTGATAAAACTTAGAGTAGTCTCATTTTATTTTTGATAATGAGAATCATCTCCAGAGTAAGTTGGCAAAAAGTAGCAATTAATGTCATTAAAGCATTCGTTATTTTCAATATCAAAATTTTATGGGTCAGCTTCATCAGCATTCTCGTATGATAATGCTTATTTAAGATTTTTTATTGCTAACTTTTTCTTGCTTACTGTATCTGCCCCTTTTATCAAGTAAATTATTTGAGGAAGAAGTCTTTTCTCTTTGTCAAACGCTTCAAAGCTTTCAATAAATTCTTCAAAATCTTGCCATTCATTCTAGTACTCATTGACTACTAAAAGAATATCACAGATTTCTAGCAGAAATACTGACTATAGAGCGGATGAAAAATTAGATAGATTTCGAGCTTCCTATCTTTTTTGCCTGGGGTCTGTAGTCCAAGAGATTTGGTTTTGATATTTCATGATACTTTCTGAGCTCCTATAGCCTTCAGCATCAATTAAGATCAAATCAAACTCATCCCCTTATTTTACAGCAATATCTAAACCTTCAGTTGTTTGATTTCCTTATGATTCAAACGAACTCGACTTAAACTTCACATCAAAACTTGACCTCAAGAAGGTGCTTTTGCCTATTTATTGTCGACCAAGTATTCCAATAACAAAAGCTTATTTGTTTTCATGTAGCACCTCATCCAAATTTTCTCTATTAATCTATATTTTAGGTTTTTTATGTTCTAAATCAATTTGGATTTATATCAATTTCTTTGGTTCATTCATTGCTTCCATCAGTATTTTCTGGGTTTATTCAAAAGAACTCTAAAGTTTATTAATTCTTAAATTCTATTATAAGCTTAATAAATTATTTCATTAATCATAAACTCATTTTTAATAAATTGACACATTTTAGCAATAAGGGGTTTTGGGGTTTTGGGGTTTTGGGGTTTTGGGGTTTTGGGG